GGACACGACTGGACAAAAATTGTCAAGGGGAACCTTTACCTTTACTTTTACCCGTCCCATTCCCACCCAGTCAGTTTCCATGAGCATAACAGGGATTTGAGCCCAGGTGTCCTGAATCTTATTCCATCATTTTATCCACAGCATCACACAGAGATTTTTGGAATAGGGTAGAGTTGATCAGGATCCCTCCCCTAGCATGAATTACGTTCTAAAAAAAATAATGTTTCCAAGTTCTGTCTAACTCTTCTTTGACTGTCTTGTGAAATATGATGGATGTCTCTTAGAGAAAGGGCCTTCTCAGAAATTTCATCCTGATAAAGGAATATCTTCCCCAGAGAGATTAGTCCTGCTGCCTAATCTAATGTTAGACAATTCCTCTTAAAACTCACTTTTAAGTGATGTTACTGTACAATGATAACCCTCATTTTTAATTATTTAAATAAAAGTTTTTCAGACTCCTGGGATCTACTTTTGCCTGGTTCAAAAATCAGAAAAGCAGATTGAATTGTGTGAGCCCAGAAATTTGCTTTCTGTATCAGAATGGATTGAGTTCACTGTCCTTCCACTCAAACAAATATTTCTGATTGCACCAAGTTTGGCCCATATCAGTAACGCCGTTCTGGCAGTCCAGAGACCATACGTGAAGTTCCCAAAAATTAAACTAGAAGTGACTGCAACCACATTTCCAGTTTCATAAAAATCTTGTCAGGGGGTAAAACTATAGGACATGGTCACATGGGCAAAGAGAACCTCAGTTAAACAAATTTAAGCATTATTTAAATTGAATCATAATTTCTCATGCAGACAATATACTAGTGAAATCAATTTATTTGGGTTTCAAAGTGATTTTTTTTTCAACCGACCAACAGGGGCTTTTAAAAATAACTTGTTTGTAAATAAATCTAAACTGATTTGTTTTGGCAGATGTGGATGGTGCTTTCAGTTTAATTTGTGCCCCAGTTCAGTGTCAATGGCACTGCCTCCAGGGCTTCTACTCTTTCTCTTTTTAAATTTGTTATAGCACTGTTTAGTGATGTGTCTGTTACTACCTTTTGACGTTTTCAGCTGAATGGGACCATTGATTTGTTGCTATGTCACTTTTTAAAAAGACAAGTGATAATGCCGGGTTCCTAAAAAGGAAAGGAAAGGAGTTGATTTCATCATTGTAGATGCCGAAACCAGTTTAAATCATGTGAAATAAATGCATTTCCATTCAGTGGATGTGACCAAGACAAGCGATTTAAATACATGGCTTGAACCTGATTTATACAAAGCGTGAACAGAAATTGATTGAAATGGCCAGTGGGATTATGCCCAACAGCAAAATGTTGGTTGATTGGAATGTTTTTGAGTGAAGAAATGATTCAGGGTGTTTCTTTTTAGTTTGACTTTTTACTACATTTTCTGTGTTGTTGTTGTTGTTGTTGTTACTGTTTTCACTTTTAAATGATGAATTGACCTTTTGTTAAAAGAGGTCTGAATGAGGGTAAGAGAAGGGGGGAAGGCATGGAGGTTTCTCAAAAGTCAAAAAAGGAGCACACTCCTAAACAGTCTGGAAACCACTGAGTTAGAGGTTAAGCAATTCCAGCGCAGTACTTAAGCATTTTTATTATAATTGGGAAGAAAATGGGGATAGCAAACGCAGAATTACTCGGTCCTGACTTTGCTTTCCATTGGGTATAAATCCACCTATTGTTTTGCTCGTGGCCAAAATCCATCTCAGCTTAAAATGTTTGTTAGTGCTTGGGGTTGGTGCTTACCAATGTTCAGTTCCTCTTGCCCATCTCCCCAGAAGGTCTCTGGTGTTTCTATTTCTTTTTAATTAAATGAATTTTAGCAGAATGGCAACTTACCTGTTGGATCTCCAGGGATCTACTACAGCTGATTATAATCCTGTTTGGGTTTTGTTTGAATGCTTTCATTCATACTATACTTCCATTTGGCACAATTCAGAAAAGACACGGAATACTCTTAAATATCAACACCAGCTCCAATTAGTTACACAAATGTTACCAACTGCAAAGTCTGCCCAATTCCCAGCACATTTCCTCATTAGCAGTTTGTGGGGCATGAGGTCCATGAAAGAAGCAGAACCCGATCTCTTTTACGAAATTACAAATGCTTCCAAAGTTGGTTGGATAGAAAGCCATTCTTACTTGTCGAAGGTGAATTGCTGTTTATAAGTCTGTTTGATGCTCTTAACTGCGTGTGTGGTCTTTGTCATTCCACGGACTGCTGAAGAGGAATTTGAAGTCACCATTTCTCCTCCGATGACTGCAGTCAGAAGAGGAGATTCTGTCTGGCTAAACTGCAGCTCCACCTGTAAGACCACCTCCAGCTTGAGCCTAGAGGCACGCCAAAAAAGCATGAAAGGACTTCATGAGCCTGGCTGGAAGTCTGCTCAGTTCCTCAATTTCACAGAAGAGATGTCACATGTTTCGTGCGATATTACATGCAATGGGACAACAAAGAAAGCAAACGCCACCATCTTAACTTACAGTAAGTGATTCCTGGAAAGGGTTTCCTCTTGTGGATGGAATATAAGACAGGGAGGGTTGGGGACATGGCGCTCTTGAGTACAGCAGTCCCAAAGTTGCACAGATAGAGAGTAAACCAGCTGAGATTGCAGGAAACCTTACCTAGCTGTTCAGACACCCGGTGCTAAAAAGGGAAACATTCACGACTGTAATTTTTTGACAGAGGCATGACACAGTGGTCTGCTCAGGCAGTTAAAAACTTGGTTATTCAAGCAGGCCTTCCCTCCAGTCAATTAAGTCTTTCTCCTTTTTTCTTTTCAGTAAACCAGCTGAGATTGCAGGAAACCTTACCTAGCTGTTCAGACACCTGGTGCTAAAAGGGAAACATTCACAACTGTAGTTTTCTGACAGAGGCATGACACAGTGGTCTGTTCAGGCAAACGTGAAGGCCCTGAGACTGTGGCAGGGCTACAGATGCTACCACAAGACTGCTGGCAGCTTTGCAGCCCATGCAGCTCATATGGATGGAAGGTTGGCCCTACCATTGGATAAGATGAGGCAGCCACCGCAAGCAGCAGATTTTTGCTATCAAGAAACAGCAGCAAAATATTAGCTATTTAATGCATTATTTTCTGCCTCAGGTACTAAAATGACTCGGGTATCATAGGGTGCAAATCAAATCAAATCAAATCAAATCAATCAATCAATCAATCAATCAATCAATCAATCAATCAATCAATCAATAAATAAATAAACAAACAAACAAACAAACAAACAAACAAACAAACGTGAAGGCCCTGAGACTCTGATAGGGCTACAGATGCTACCACAAGACTGCTGGTAGCCTTGCAGCTCATACAGCTCATATGGATGGCTGAGTCTCTGGAAGGTTGGCCCTACCATTAGACAAGATGAGGCAGCCACCGCAAGCGGCGGATTTTTGCTATCAAGGAACAGCAGCAAAATATTAGCTATTTAATCCGTTATTTTCTGCCTCAGATGCTAAAATGACTCGGGTACCATAGGGTGCATTGTACCTTGACTTAGAGGAGGCACATCATTTGTTGCTGAGCCTCAGAAAAATTGCACAAGCCAGCCCTGGATATAGGGGCTTGTCTTCTGGTAATGGTGTCAAATATATCTTTGGGACCTGTAGGACTTGCTAGAGTTACCTCTCCAGGCCTGACGCTGGACTCAGTGGGGGAATGATATCAATCCTGGCCAGCCCTATGGCACAATGGAAGCACTTCCAACCAAGGGCATCCACAGAAATACTTTGAGAGGGGTGAGGGAGCAAAGTTGATTCATGATCCCTATGGGTCTTTGACATTTACATGAATAAATGTGAAGAGATACCCATTTAAGATTCCCTTCCTCAGTCTCCTGGACACCCATGCTTCCAGGGGTTGTTTGCAAACCATCCAGATGTTAGCAAGGAAGGGAAGTGACACAAGGAAGACACCTTTTAATGTGATGATGTTCCATATTTCTCTGGAGTAAAAGCCAGCAGTCACCCCAATGAACTTTGTCTTTTTACTGTCATTTTAGAGGAGATATTACTAAAGCTTGAGAAGTCATCACCAAGCCAAAATCTTCACCAAGCCTACAACCTGACATGCCATGTGACAGAGATAACAGCCCTCAGAAGTCTCAGTCTGACCTTGCTTAAAGGGACAGAGAGACTGCATTCATGGAAATTTCAGGACAATACCAGTGTTGGGCTTGTAAACCGTACAATCACGCATCCCTTAAATCCTAAGCCGTGGGACCATGGGCAGGAAGCTAGTTGTCAAATGACCTTCGACCTCAAACCAGATGAGCAGTCCATCATTGCTAAGTCCCTTAGGCTGGACCTCAAGACAGCAGGTGAGTTTGTAGCACCTCCCCGATTCCATCACAAGCTGCCTGATTTTCCCAGGTCTCAGACAGAAGTTTCTTTCCAAAATATCATTATTTCTGGTTTGGGTAAAAATCTTCACCTTTCACTAGTACAAAATTCAGGACGTCTTGCCAAATTTCAACAAACTGGTTTTCTTATACCACATCCTTACTATATTTTATGTCCGACGTTAATTTATCATTAACAGCTACTGTATTTCCAAAACTTTGTTATACCATTCAATTATTTGACATCTATATTTCAGTTTCCAATTTTTCACAATTACTAATCTAGCTCCCATTATCGTACTTGCTATTATACTAGATCAGGGTTTCTGGGGAGGAAATAATACCAGGAATAACACTCAGTTGATTAGCCAGATAGAGCCCCTGTTAGAGCTGATGTGCAGCTTTTCCGAATATAGAATTTTAAAGTTGCACATTAGCTCTAACAGGGCACTGAAGCCGCGGCATGTTCAGAATAGGCCTTGTTTGTGTTGTCAACCTGGCTTGCCTTTGTTTCAGCCCAGACTGGTGGTTGGGAAGGATGATGTTAGTGTGGGGAATGCATTCCCAGTGAAGCAGGGGGTCCCCCTGACTTTTTTTTAATTTCATCTACTAACCCATTCACCAATGGCAACTTCATTAGCCAGCAACAGTTCATTGATCTTGGAACTTAGTCATCGGCACAATCGCCAAACCCAAACCCCAAAATGGCCAAAATGGAATTTCAATAGCATATGACTACACATGCTATCAGCTGTACTGTCCCCGCTGAAAGCCACACACTCTGATCCCTGAGCTTCAAGAGAACCTTGACCTAATCAGGTGATCTGTCCAGTTCTCTTTGTGGTTCTCGCTAGAACGTTGCAGTTAACGTTACCTGAATTTTTTTTCCTCCCTTGCTGATCTTCTCTCTCTTTCTCTCTTTCTTTTCAGTTTCAGAACTCTACAGGGCTGTAGTTGTGGCTGTTTCTTCTATAGTCGTGCTAGGTGCATGGCTGTTGGTCATTTTCACATATTATCTGACTCTTAGATAACTAAAGCCAAGATGGTCAGAAGCAAACTACTTACGAGCTGCAGAAGCTTGGCATAACACAGACTGTCATGAACTCCTGTTTTTCACAGACATTGCATAAGCAAATAAGGAACTGCGAGTCAAAGCTGTTGCGAATCAATTTGTAGGTGGGGAAAAAAAATCATATATTTAAAAATGATGATGGTGTAGAAGAAGAAGAAGATGGTGGTGGTGATGATGATGATTGAAATCGTAGTCTGGCTGATCTTGGAACCTAATATCTCTGGAAAAGGAGAGACATTTTTTGCTCTCCCTCCATACCATTCCACTTCTCCCTCAAAATTCTTCCTTCTGCTTGAAGCGCATCAGTCCAATGTCTTTCCAATGGGCAGACAGAAGTCATAAATTATGGTGTATTTAGCAGGGCTTTTAATAGGAATCACGGCCTCGAGAGGCAACAATAAATTTTAGAGGAATAACAAATCACAGATATGATGTACAGTATTCAGTCTTTTGAGGAACTGATCGTGTTCTTATCTACTCAGAAGTAACTCCTTCCTGATTCTGTGGGACTATGTCCTGGGTGAGTATATACAGGACTGCAACCTGAAGCAAAGTGTGTTATCAGCTGAGGCTCTCCCAGATGGACCAGTTGTTCTGCACTGATGTTATTGGTATTTTTCCCACTCTCTATATGACATTTCTCTTGTTTTGTTTCTTCTTCTTCTTCTTCTTCTTCTTCTTCTTCTTCTTCTTCTTCTTCTTCTTCTTCTTCTGGTGACTTCCGACTGCCCTTCATTCCTCCTGAAAGGATGCTTTATTTTTATGTTTTTTTAACTGGGAAATCTTCAGCACTTCCCCTGGAGAGAGGCATGGGTCAAAAGTTTTAATCAGCATTCAGCCAGCATGTGCGGGGGAAGGATTCCAGTGCCAACACTCTAGCAGGGAAATGATTTTCTTAAGATTGTTTTCAAGAGATTTCTTACAGTTGTCTTAAAGAGAAGGCACTTTCTGAAAAGAGAAGAGAAGTTTGGGTGCAAAATCCAGGAAGTCCCGTGCTCTTTTAGAGCTCAGCCACAGAAGGAGCTGGTATGGGGGTAACGAATGTTCCATCTGAAAGATCCATGACTTTGATCTCTGATTGGGAAGCCTCTACACAGTGACAGAGGCTATGTCTACGGCCAAGGGCTTTTTAAAATTATTATTTACTTTGGAATCCTGGCACGTCGCATTGGGAGAAAAAGACAATGAAAGGGCAGCAAGCCCGTAGCGTCCTGTTGGTCTTTCCTGCAGTGATGCTGTGAACGGTTGTGCATAACTGGCCATGCTGAAGCACAGGCAGCCTATATTTAGCCAGCAGGCCAGATGAGGAAATAGCTGTCTCTACCAGAACCTTCTTTTCACTCAGGTGTTCCAGAATCCAAGGGCATATCCAGTGTATGATCAGTTTTGAGGTGCAGGCATTCATTGCGACAGTCGCCACAGCTGCCCGAAGCACAGTCTACGTTGATATAGCTGTACTGACAGGAATGAACAATCAGAGTAACAATAGCAGTCATTCACTTCATCAGGAGCAGTTCTCTTTTTAAATGTTCGTGGTTCATCACTCTTTGATTATCAAATTACTCCAAAATGCATTGCCTTTTAAGAAGGATCATTCAGAATAGTGTTTTGTGTTGTTGTTTTTTCTGGGTCAAGTTCCAGATTAATCCAGGGTACTCCTCTTAAGGTGTTAATGATTGAGATTGGTACTCTCAGTTGTTGAGCATAGTAATAGATTTATAAATTTGCCTAAACCTGCAAATCCCACTGAGTTGGCTACCTGGCTGTGGAGCTGAAGCCCATGAATTCAGTTCTCCATTGTGCTTCGCAAGAGAAGAGCCAGCCTGTGTGGCCTTGGGTGAGCTTCACAGTCCCATAGAGCATTGGTCCCCAACCTTGGGCCTCCAGATGTTCTTGAACTTCAACTCCCAGAAATCCTGGCCAGCAGAAAGCTTCTGGGAGTTGTAGTCCAAGAACATCTGGAGGCCCAAGGTTGGGGATCACTGCCATAGAGTACTTCTGAGTACTCTATGCCTGTAAACTCTGGAAAGAGTTACCCTCAGTCGGTGTTGACCTGGCACCTTGTAGTTACTTATATTAAACCTATCCAAAACTTGTTTCACCAGTCTGGAAAAGCTGATCTAAATGCTTAACCCTCAACGTCTCTCTATTTAAGGCCCTTCTGTTCTGTGATACATGACCATGACAAGCTGAAACATGTTAAAGAATAGAAGCGTGAAGGAATCAATAGGTTAAAAGATTTATAGGCTAGGTTTCTGCCTGCTGCAGGAAGAAATGAAAGTGAAACCTATTTCTGTTCTGCCCACTCACTGACTCACCGGTGGTGGCTCCTCTTATCCTTTATCCCTGCTTGCACTTCTGTGGAAGCACAGGAGATGGAGTCCCAGTGCTCAGCTGGCTCCTCCCATATCTCCCCCCCCCTTCATCTGAGGTGCTCAATGATGATCACCCTGTGGTCTGTAACTCTTGCCGTCTTATTCCTGCTTTCATGCCCTCTCCCACATCAGGGGTTGGCCCTTCATCCACCAGCAGAAGCACATCCCTGCCAGCTCTTCTCACTCACAACAAATGTCCAGGTATAATTTAGCAACAAAGGGCCATTTCATATTTAGTGAGATGTTAAAATTCCAGATTGCCATGCCCTTCAGGATGATCTGTAAGTATCCTGCTATAGTATAAAACAAGAGATAAGAAGATTCCAGAACAGAAATGTTTAGAAAACATCTCGAAGCGTGAGAAGGAAGCTGCAGTAATTTAGTTCATTATGGAAAGCATGCAACGCCTGACTTTGGAAAGAACCTCGTTTTAAACAGGGCACAGTTCCATGGGAGTTCAGCCTTGTCTTGTATTGAACACGAGCAGGGACACAAGGTCTGTTAGAATCAACTAAAGGGTCAAAATTTGAAGGAAAATATGGTATGGAGATCTTTTTTAAATGTACGCTTGACTCTGGACTGGCGTTTTGTGCCCCTGCAAAGTCATCATTACAGATGGGAACCCCTGCCCCCAGCTCTGTTTACTAGTGTTATGCTTAGTTTTAGGATGACACCTCCCACAATCCACCTGCTAACATGGTCATTGTCATACCAGCTGTGGCATTCTGCGAGATACCGTTTAAAAAAAAAATCAAATATTCCCCATCTCCACCCATTACTACTAGCGAATTCAGACCATGGGCTGGTGTGTGAAAGCTTTCAGATTGAAGCAAAGCATGCTGTGATGAAGGGGCTCTGACTGCTTTTGCTTTGAAAACAGAAACACCAACAGGAGTTCAGCATCTCTGTCTCTGGGCAGATTAGTCGGTTCTGACATGGCAGCCCTCCTTTTGACAGTGTGAGTGAAGCAGCTGGATTCTTCCTACTCTGTACATGTTTAAACACAATTATTTCTCAGAGCAATGGATTAGACCAGTGGTTCTTAACCTTTGTTACTTGGATGCTTTTGAACTGCAACTCCCAGAAACCCCAGTCAGGACAGCTGGTGGTGAAGGCTTCTGGGAGTTGCAGTCCAAAACTCCTGAGTAACCCAAGGTTAAGAACCAGTGGATTAGACCACAGGGTCAAAGCCTGGGGACTTTCTGAGTAGCAGGAAACTACAATGTACTCTGCCACCACCCTCAACCTTTCCTTTTCCTTTAGAGTAGGGGTCCCCAACCTTTTTCACCCCATGGACCAGCTGCAGAAGGTTGGGCAGCCCCCAAGCTTGTGGGTATGTGCGAAAAATGAGTGCAAATGAGCACGCGTACGTGCACAAACAGTGGCACAGTGCTTATACACGCTCGTTCACTCATGCGCATGCACAAACGGCAGGGCATGCTCACACATGGTGCGCGCAGCATGCGCAAATCAGCTGTGTGGGTGAGTGCATGCGCGGGGTGCGGGAAGTCTTCTCCACAAACCAGTTCGGCTCAGGCCACAGACCAGCACTGGGCCGTGGATTGGGGGTTGGGGATCTCTGCCCTATGGATAGAGGGTCCTCCCGTATAGCGACAAAGATGTGAGCCTTGGAGGCATCCAGTTTTCCAAAAGTTCATATCAAATGTAACGCAACTATGATTGTGGCACAGTGAATTCTGCTGGTAAAAAATCTGCAAAGCAGGCGTGCTGACTGCATTGTCATAGTTTCTAGAACCAGACAGGTTTTTTTAAAAAAAGGAATGGCACCCTTGTGTATCTGCAATTTCTATTGATTTTATTCTGTAGATTAGTCATCGCTTCCAGATGCACTCCCTGGCTGATTCCCTTCAACACTTACAGCCTGGTCTTAGTTAAGCCCTCAACTGAACCCCCACAACAATCCATAGCATGGTCTCTGGCTCCCTGTAGTGGCCAGTTCAGGTAAATACATTGGGAAAATACTTATTTCTAGTTTTTTTTTTTTCCTTTCAATCATTTTCAAAATTTCAGACCATAGATAAGTGAAAACATGGGTACTCATCCAGCAGATACAGGGATCCTACTGTATTTCCAGCCTGAGAGAAACGGATGTCTATCCAACTGTCTCCAGTACTTTTGTAGCAACATGTTCAATGCTGAAAGGGAGACAGAAAGGAAGTACTTTCTATTTAAAGACATTTTAAATGAAATCCTATTGGCATTTGCATAAGATTTGAGTAACTTGCCATGGCTACCTGCAGCTGATTGATGAAGTGCTGGGGTACATTCTGGTTGAACAAATCAGGCACATGACCAGGCATGTGACCCAGACACTCCTTGACACCTTTCAATTAGCCAGGGCAAGTTACTCAAACCTTATGCAAACACCAGTATGCAAGCATCAATAATTGTTAAATTTATTGCCTGGAATCCATAACCTAAGGCCACCTAAGGCCAATGATGGCATCAGCAATGGAGAACGTGACAGGAGCAACTCAGTTCAGAGGCTGGCAGCAAGTCTGGCATACAGGAAGTTGTAGGTTCAGTTCCTGACAGCCACACTTAAAAAGCTGCTTGAAAAAGGAGTTTGTAGGAACAAATACCCCACTAAAAACAGTAAACAAAACCAACACCAAAAACACATTCAAAGCAATAAGTCACAACATTCCATTCAAAATTCCAACCCAGGCAGACAGTCAATAAGGGAAAGCTTGCCTGAAGAAGCTGGTCTTTGCCTGCTTATGAAAGGACAGCAAAGATGGAGCAAGTCTGGCTTCCAGTGGGAGGGAGTTCCAAAGGCCGGGACCATCTTTGAAACACAGCTGCATGTTTGATAGCGCAGAGATTGTTTAAAATACTGGTATGTGTTTCAAACACTTACTGTAGGTCTTTTTTAATTGACTCCTTATACTATCTTTTTCATGGCAAGAACAAGAAAAAGTGTCCAAAAAGAGGCAGAGAGAGAGAGAGAAACCCCAAAGGGTCAAAGGCTGCATTGTGTTACTGTGCCCACCTTATTCAATTATTACTTTCATTTTTTCCCCTAGCTCAGATCTTAGGAAAGTTCCTTTTCATGAAGATGGTGGAAGATAACTTTTTGGAGCACCAGCCTAGAATCCTGTCAGAAGGTCACCACGGGGAGATTTAACAATCAGAGAGGTTGGTGACAGGTGATACATTTATACGGCATTAATAAAAATATATACAGTGGTGCCCCGCATAGCGAGGTTAATCCATTTC